ACCAATACGCTGATGAGTGCACACGTGAAGAACTGGATTACACCGCTGTTCAGACCAACCATATAGTAGAATATGGAGACGAATAGGAATGGAAGCAACAGATATATCGGCGCCTAATTGTTGTGGTTTTTATACATTAATACAATTATATAACAGATATTCATCTGATGGACAGACAGACCTCTGCCAGCATTTTGGCCAAGAAGTAGGCGCTCACTCTATACATGCCGTTGTTGTGCTCTCTTTGAAATATCGGTAATTCTATGCAAAAAGTCTAAGAATGAAAAATGTATTAATTAGTGACCAAATGGTGACAATGAGTGAAGAGTTTGTAATTACTTTGACGACTGCGTAAGCGTTTTGAAAACTCAAATTTGTAATCAATAGGAAGAGAGCGCCGTTAATGTTGATGACTCCCGTCTGATCTAAATCTAACTGCCAGTATATAAAGCCCAGAAGAATGGCCACAAACTATTGGTACGAATATATCAATCGGTTTTAAACATGTATTATATTTTAATTGAATGAAAATATTTTGCTTACGACTGTCTGCGAGATCTGAGTTCTGGTCACTTTTGGTTCCCGCATAACCGTTAAGTGTGACCTCCAGAGCAGTGCCCAGAACTGTGTAAACCAATTGGATTTATAGACGTGTCTACTGTTCCTAATCTCTAACTCTTCTTTTGATGAATAAATAAATTGTTCGCAATTCTGTTGGGGAAGCGCTTCCTTCGCGTACACACTGTCCACATAGCGATCGCATATACTCTGCAATAAAACCATACAAATTATGTGTGAATTTTGCGCTCATTTGTGGACACAATTAGTGGACAAATACCTCTATTTTCTCCTTTGTTTGCGTTTCATTGCCCGGAATGACAGCCAATTGTTTGATGTAAAAGTCCGACGGATTGTAATTGTTTGGACAGAAGAGACCCAATGTTGAGAAATATTCAACCGCTTTCTCTAATGTGTCATAAAGTATACGAATATTCACATTATTATGATTTTATGGTCAGTTATAACTGTTAGAGTTGACTAATACGGACCCGATTTGCCTAAATAAGCGACTCTTCCCTCTGCCATAAGCAAGAGATGGCTAAATATACTGAACACTTCTGATGACGGCTGATGTATTGTGCAGACAACTGTTCGACCCGAAGCTGCCATATCTCGGAGCACTTCCAC